TTAACAGCAATGGATCTGTCTATCCATCCATCCATCCGGTCAATAAACCTTCAAACTTCAAGGCTTTTTACACAAACCTTTCAAACAAGGCTGTAAAACTAACATTCAAAAGTTTTGTCTTGGCATTTCTACTAAAAAAAATCCAGTTACATGAATTTCTGTGAATTTCAGTTAATTTTATTCTACATCCTAAGATTCAAATTCAAAATCCAGCAACTGAATTAGTGGCTATCCACCTTTTTCTTCAATGCGGAAGTAAGCCTATAGGTGAGACTTCTGGTTCATTAGCCGCTATAGGGAAATAACGAGAAGAATAACAACATTCAGTAAACAGTAAAACTGTTTGCACTACAAACCAGTGTGTTCATAATTAAGATAATGCATTAAAATAATATGGTAAGACACCATTTTTCAATATCAAGCAGTAAAAGGAGCGGTTCTGTACAGCTAAAAATAGCTGGCTACAGATGAGACCGGAAGCTAGACCCATAGAATTTACAAATGGCCGCGCCCATTTTTACGGCAAGAAAAAGGTGGATGCTTTCGAAAAGTGTGCATTTTGATGTTGATTGCACTGCACCACACAAGAATTTTACCTTTAAAAAAATTTAAACTAAGTCTAAATAATGTTTTTCTGCAGTAATCGACATTAGGCTTAACTTAATTCCTCTTCACCAGTCAGAATGATAGAAAAAGACTCTGCTCTCTGAGAGATTCATTTAATGGGACTTGAAGGAAACAGCTGGAGAAGTACAAGAGGAAAAGGGAGACAGACAGGAAAGGAGCGTGAAAGAGATTTGAAAAGCCTTCACAGGTGAGGTGGGCTGAGGGACGCCCTGTCTGTTTGGTCTCTCTCATAGAAGAAGTGCATGTTTATGCAGACGGAATCTCTCTCACATGACTCCCTCTGGCTTCAGCACTCAACATCACTCCACGAGCCTCAGAATCAGGTAGTGTGACCGCAGAATTGGCCCAGAGGCACGGCTTTCATGAGAGAGGGTTACAAAAGTGAAGCGTGCGCCATGAAGAGAAATCAGAGACTCTTGGATTTGGCAGCACAGTCGCGCCGACACACACATTCCAGCCTGAGACGGACATGTGACCCAAATCTGGTTGCTCTCGTCCCAACAACAAACAGTTTCGCCATCTATCAAAGCAGGTAACCGTGACAGTTTGATTGTACAGGCTTGCAGTTTGAGGTGGGGAAGCCAAATTCCAGGCTCTAGTACCTCTCCTTCCGCAAGATCACTTTTCAAGCCACGATCAAATTATCGTGAAGAACAAAGTGGTGGGCTTGTATCTTTTGTAGTAATGCTTTTCCTGTGAATGAAGCCAGACAAAGCGTTCAAATAGAGAAAGCATTTCAAAACAGCGCTATCAAAGTATGGCGGGGGAGAACTCCGTTAACGTATAATATTTCTTTCTTCAGACGAAAATAACATTAGCTGTTTATATAAAATATCAAATACGAGAAATGCATTGAAATACTGGATTTCTTCTGAGAAGAATCACATTTTATAAAACACACATACACACACACAAAATATGACTAAACTAATTTAATCTAATTTACATTTAAATGAATCCTTTTTGTGGCCAATTATTCACATAATCTAGGAGTCTTACAACTCCACAGGAGGCCCAAATCCTTCATACTCTGTTGGTTCAAAGCCTCTAAATAAATTGGCTGCAAGAAACCAATGGCAGCTTCCATTGCTTGTTTCGTGTCATAATCCTAGTTTAGTCAACTCAATTGGAGTTGATGTGACAATTGTCCAAACATAAGTTTCTAATCGTTCTAGTGATTGTTTCAATACACATTCTTAACAATGAAATTGGCAGAAATTGGTATTTGGTCTCACATTCTCATATATTCAATCTGTGCCCATTCATTCCTAATCCACCCATGTCTATTCTACACCGCGATCCATTTCATGACCGCACGGGGAGTTCAAAATATGCTCCAGGGACAAGATGGCACAAGACCAATGCATTGGACATGATCATTCTGCTGTCAAAAAGTCTCGTTTCACAACCATCCCACCACTTGAAAACATTCCAGCGCTTATAGCTTCTACACAAACCATGTAGAGTTGTGCACATCAAACTTACTGGGTATGTATTAAGAGACTAAAAAGACCAGTAAACCAAGTAGAAGTCGCAGTGAAGGACACTGACTCTCGGCCCATTCAGACGGCTGATTAGCATAGCACTCCTGCTGGATCAATAACCTCATTGACTCGGTCGGTCTCCTCTATCAGGAATGATGGCAGACTCTCTTTTGTAACTCTATTCTAGGGGCAACTGTCCATTCTCCACAAACTCCTGCTCTATTTTTCAAACTGGCCTCAATTTGTTTCCTTCTGTCTCACTGTCTTTTAGGATGAGAGTAAATAAAGCTGTCTAGATGCCACTGAGAAAGATTAGCATGTAGCTTTTCGCTTTATCTGGATCTGAATGCATGGAAGTGAGGGAACGAAGGCGTCCCCCGTTATTGCCAGAGTTTACTTTGCAAACCTCTTATCACGTTTAAGAAAAAAGATGTGTGAATGGGCAAGACAAGGAGCTACTCAAGCTCTAATTTGCTCACAGCATGGCTTCATGAGCCCTTTCCCAAACCAAGCTTAACGGGAATATGGAAAGTTGGGCAGAATCCAAAAAAAAAATCCTTCTTTCTAATACGGAGACAAAACAATGAACCGAATAGAGTTTAAGAAGAAGAGAAAGACCAGAACCATGAAGTGAACCTCTGATGGCCTGAACTTTTTTTCCATCCATCATAAAATGTCTTAAGTTTAAAATATTCAATCAAAATGGGGGGATTGACCAGTGACCTGATCCCAGGAGCTGCTTGGGTTCTGGTGGTTAATGGGGGATAAAGATTAGGAGGAACCGGGCTTCGCTTCATCTCCATCCGCAACCACCTTCCCTTTCCAATCCCAAATCAGCCACACAATGAGACCTTCCAATGGAGACAGAGCCCGGTTTCCTTTGATATCCTTCCGAGCTCTCGGCTCCGAGTGTCCAGAGCAAAGCCCCATGGAGGTTACTCTCGACTCTGGGGAGTGAAAGAGCTCTCTCTGAGCCATTTTAGATGGAACTGACAGGCGTTCTACTAGAACAAGAAATCAATTTTCAAAGCGAAGAACACGCAAGTCCGTCCAACCGAAGATTGAGCAATGCCATTCCTCGTCTTTAAACTCGGGTGAGATATGCTTAATTGCTGTAGATTTTATAATGTGTGTGCATTGGCGGTGTGAAGTTGGGCAGCAATTATACTTTTTTATTTTATTTTTTTATGCACTGATCAGAGGACTTCTGTTCCAGAACAGATATGCTTTAAGAGTTCATCTTTGAAGATTTAAGTGGATACTCGTCAAATTAAAAAGTAATATTCAAATCTCTTTAAGGTGGGGAGAGAGGAGCCGGGTTTTGGTTAGCCTTGTGAGGCAGGGACTTCTGGGGATTCAGCCCCTGCCTGAAGCCAAGCCACGCAACCTCTTCAGCAAATGCTAACTTTAATCAGTCCCGCACCTCAAAGGCAGAGTAATGGCTTGGAATAGCCTCACTGATGGACGCTTCTCTACCGAGCCGAGCTGAGCGCTGGACTCCGCTGACTTTAGCAAATCGGCAGCAAAGCGTGGGCTGTTATTGCTAGCGCAATGTGAAACTTTCTTAGCTCAGATTAACACATATATATATATATAATTTTTTTTTTTTTTTTTTTTTTTTTTATAACAAGTGCATTGACTGAATCATACCAAATCACCCGTAGATTAGGTGCTTAAACAACTTCTAAAGCTTTTTTCTCTACATAATATAGCATAACCATTTTTTCTAAATCATTATTTGTACACTAATTATTAAAAGGCAATTTTACCCAAAAAGTGGCCAAAAAATTCAATCATCATTTACTCACTCTTAAGTCGTTCCAAACCCGTATTACTTACTTTTTCCTTGGAACTCAAGTGGAGAAATGTTCCAAAATGTACTTTCGACTCTTTTCCATATAAATGAATGAGGATACAGGTTGCACCAATAAAGTTTCAGGGGACCATTCAAGAAATGTATTTCATTTGAACTTCTACATATTTAAACAAATTTCTTTGTGATCAAACTTTACATGTAGTATCTAAAGGCACCATATTTTAATAGATAATGACTTAACTGTTGATCTGTTTGTTGCAAAAAGAGTAATTTTCATGGCACTACGTTTATAGTGCTTCCCCCCCCCAATTCATTATATGTTGAAGATTGGCCAGTACATTCTTCAACATTTCTCCTATTGTGTTCCACGGTTTTTCATTTTTGATTCCATTTTTTTATCCCTTCCGAACAAAAATTATAATAGCAACTGAGTACCTACAGTAACTAATATCAGGACCCTTAAAAAGTCAACAAATCTCTTAATCAAATGATCAAACATGACCTAAACTTGCCCTCTGCGTGAACTGCCTTGAATAGGTGCAGGTCTTAGTCTTTACCCTTCGCAACTGTAGCCACCTGTCTGGCAATGTCTACATCGCTAATGACGGTGACCACAACCTCCACATAATCAGCAGTCACATTCTTACAGACGGTGGGATTCCTTATGCGTATTTTTTACTTACTTGGTGACAAAACCATCATCAGGGGTTCAACGGAGGGAGCTGGATAACATGCTTCAAACCTTTACCTGCTGGGTTATGCACCATAATACATAATCTTGACTTCAACTGCCTTTAACGTGAAACCCCACAACCGCAAAGGCCGTCAGAAACTAAGTGGACTCTCTCGACTATCATAATGCATCAAGAATCTTTAAGAGGTCCCCGGACTCCTCGTTATTAACGCTCCTCTCAGGATGTGGTTGATGGAATATATAATGGAAGTGATTTTTGAGAGGACATATCAATTATGGCCGAGACAGACAGACCGAACATGCAAATTAGCACTTTAAAGATTGCTTTTACTCACCGCTTTTGCCTTGGTTTCAGAGTACTCCTGCTGCGCTATGAGCAATGGCCATACCAGGTCTCATCCTGACCGACACAGAATGGGAAACATGTGTAAGCATACATATTTTTTTCCCTGAAGCATGCCTTTTTTTGCATTTTACCTTTTTTGAATGCTATAAAGGTGGCAAAACAGCAAAAAAAATGACAGTGTGAGCAAGTGGTTAGTGGTATTTAGGGAGACTGCAATGACAGACAAGGTTTACTGTTTGACAGACAAGGTTTACTGTTTGGTTCACTGTTACTGTGTGTCACACAAGCGTTTTTCATCTCCATGGCAAAATAATTACAACAAAGTCTGTCACACTCCATCAATACAACAGGTCAATCAAAAAACTGGATGTGGGCTCATTTCACGTCAATGCGCCACAGTTGCGTACAATCACACTCTAGTTTTTTATCTTGTTTTCAAAGAGTGCATCTGCCAAAAAGATGAAAGTGTTGACAGAAGTACAAGAGAAGCTGTGTTTTTCGATCTTACCCTGAGGGGAAACTTTCAGTTGATGTCCGTTTGTCTGGGAGAACTGAATCCAAGTATGAGAGAATCTGTCAAAAAAACAAACAAAAAATATTAAACCTTATTCAGAAATCAAATTTTTCAATTAAATTTTTTTAAACGCACTTCAATATCTTCGTCTGCATTTCAAATTGACATATATCACACCCAGAATAATAATATGTATCAGAAATGAGAGAAAATGTTTTTCCCCTCGAAACAGCTTGCCATGCCTGGCAGATTAGAACTAACAGAGCATAAATCAAACTTTCCATCGAGGCTTCTACCGTTTTTTTTTCTGCTGACACTCACAGATATGTTAGACTAAATGAGCGTACGTGTACAGCTCAGTTCACCTCATTTAAAAAAAAAAAACTGCAAGTTGTAACATATTTCTTCTTTTTTTTGAAGAGTACAGTTCACTTGTGAAGCAACAGTATGGGACACACACACACACAAACCATCCGAATGGCTTTGGATTCTCCCTGTCCCAGAATTCCAAAGACCCCTGTAGGCAACTAACAACTTCAGGATCCCATGGAATGTGCTCCCTGAACTGTACAAAAAGAGATGGGGGTTTGCTTAGGACAGCGTTTCTCCAAACACAAACCCGCCACTACATTAACCGCCTGTGTTTGAAGAGGTGTTGCAAACGGAGACACTATAGCAAATAGCACAAACTGTCTATTAGCCCGAGTATTAATATACACATCTTCCGCGCTCAATTACACATGCACGTATATGGTGTTTGTAATTCTGGAAGTACACTCAGTTTAGGAGCACAAATAGTGTATATTTAAGCTCATTGGCTCAGTCAACATTTGATTGAGAGATTAATTATCAAAATTATATTTAAGACTGTTCTGTCAGTGATTTTTGTCCGCACATGTGTACACAAACTCTGGAAATGAAACGCGATATAAAAAGCTCTGAATAATCATTCTGGAAAAGCGTTAATGTCCTGTTCATTTCCAACTTCCTCCGAGTTTGTGTTAATACAACAATGTCTTTGGACTGTGAAAACTCACCTTTTAAATCGACTTTTCCAATGTTATTAGCTCGCATGACCTCGTGGTGACGAGTTTACAAAATGCCAGACCCGTTTCAATTTGAGATCTCTAAATACTATCAAATTATATACACACATACTGCATTTAGCAGAGGCTGTCCTAATGCCACTGTCTAATATTTACATGAAGCCCGGTTTTAAAAGTCGCGATAAACTATTTCATATCAAGGGCAGGAATACCTCTCCGGCCCCTCTGCTGGGTGTGCGGATGAAAGAAGACGAATTATGCGAATAAGTCAGATTACAGTACACAATAAGTTTTTACCTTTTCAAGTAAATACCATTCCCGTGTTAGGAGGTGGAAGCCACCATAATATATTTTGACTGAGGACCAAACGGCCCTTATCAGCGCTAGTCAAGCAATTCAGGCCCCCCGAACAAAGATGAGTCTTCAAACTCCCTCCATTCATCAGCGGACGTGTAATTACCCCCAGTTCACAGTCTAGACGTTACCGCTTTCAGGGTATTTAAGATCCCCTTTGCAACATGCAGCATGCTTGCGCCCGGCCCAACGTTAAATCTGCGGCAGATAAATTAATGAAGAATGCAAGTAAAAAAAAAAAAAGAAGCAGCGCGACCACAATGAAAAGAACTTTATCCTCCCTGCTGCTAAATGAGATTTCTTTGAAATGCAGATCAGTGGCGCTAGATTAGTGAATTTTAGCTGCTGTCAACATCATAACAAAATACAAATGCGATTGTTCGTCTGGGCCTTATCTCCTTGCTTCCATCTGCTTCTTTCCGTATTTACTCGGGTCGATTTACTATGCAGATCTAAATAAGACGCGCTTGCGGCACAATGGCTTCTTAAGCTTCTACATCAAGGTATTTGAGAGCGCCGTCACATGAAAAGCTGCCCCATCAAAGGCACATCCCTAATGAACTTCCCTATCACAGAGAGATGGTGTGGCGCTCCGGAGAGGCTCGCGGAGAGGCGCTAAATCACAGGAAGGATACCTCAGCAGCCCAGGGAGATTAACACACAACGGGGACCCTCAAACAGGAGGCTGTCCGAGCCAAACCCAGGGTAGCTTTCGGATCAATGGCCAAATTAAAACACCCAGGTAGGGGAATAACAGTGTGTACCTCAAGGTAAGATGGACACTTGTAACTAATACAACAAACGGTGCAGCATACAAAGCTGTGTTTTCCACAACGATGACAGTAATCTTCAAAGCAGAGGAATAACCTCTAATTTCACGCCATATTTGTTGCATCCTGCATACACAGATGGGATTACAACTCAAATCCCACAATTTACCCCAGAAATGGGTGGAAAAGTGCAGTGGGTGTGTATACGAAGATGCTTTTTGGGTTAAAATCGTCATGCACCAGCGGTTGGGGCAATTAGCCCCAGAGGCAGCGCACACACGGGACCGGCACATGTGGCTCTGAGTTGAGCTCTGACGTGACGGCATGATGAGAGGGCAATGGGAATACGGCGGTGGGGGTTGAACAAGAGTGTGTGCCAGCCACGCGTGTGCCAGGTTCCAACTTCCGGAGAGAGAAAAAAAAAAACAAAAAAAACTTTCGGAAAACATCCTCACACGGAAGCGGCATCCAACGGCCCTGCGGTCGTGTGACACAAACCGCAGTTGTCTTTTACGTGTCTTTCCCTCCTCCCCTCACAGTCTTCACCCTGCCAAGTGGGCTCGATGCCAGTCGCATTTGCAACCACAAGGGACTGCTGCCTTTTTTTCTTGTTTAATGAAATGACAAAACAACAGATTTACATATGCAGAAACAGGTGTTGTAACAGGTTTGACTCCTCTTGACCTAAGACGTGTTGCGTGGGAGAAAACAGGGGGGGGAAAACAAGGGGGAAAAAGTTTATTAGCAACAGCTGCCTGGAGGATGTTTAGGCTCTGATGGGCATTCAAATCTACACCATCTGCCCTGCTGGTTGCCAGAAGTGACAATCTAAATTAAAAACCACTCATCAAATATCATAAAAATAAACTATTGTATTGCTGTGGCCATATGCTGTAAGTGGCCCTATCAAAGACAAAGAGGGAGTATAATTAACCCTCCATAGCCTAAAAGACACCAAACACAACAATGGCACACACATTCCCACAGGCCCCTGAACACATACTCAGAGTCATAGCCACACTTCAGAAAGGATGCTTCTGTTTCAATATTCAAAATATGATTGTGCTACTGATTCATATTGGTGGACTTTACTAAATTGTGCTATATATTAGTGTTAATAAATTTAGAGGCTAGAATATAAATATAAAATCTGTTTATTCAACACAAACACCAAATAAAATAAAAAAAATACTGTGGCAATAACGTGATATAGGGCCTAGTGATAGAACCAGAAGGAAATACTGTTATATTTTGATACATACTGAATGATTAACATATTCATGATTTAGACTAAGTATGTAAAATAAATAAGAAAATAATATCAATATTAATAATAAAATCTGATTATTCTACATTAACCCTTACAAAAAGCTACTCTATTGGTACCATGGTACAATAATGGTATTATACATTGATATTTACTATGGTACATTATGAATCTAAGACTGGAAATATAAAATTTAAGACTGATAATAAATATCAATAATAATAAAATCTGATTTCTGCATTAACTCTTACAACAAATATGGCAACAAGGTAAAATTATGGTAAAACATTTGGTGATAGTATTTTGGTATATAACATGGTTTTGAATGATTAACACAATCATGGTCCATATACAGTCTAAATGTGTAAGATCACTAATTAAATTACATCAATATCAATGATAAAATGTGAATTTTCTGCACTAAACCTTACAAAAACCATGGTTTTACATGCCACTCACAGTCATTTTGAACAATACCATAGTACATGTCAGTCCACAATAACAATATTACTGGTCCAAAAAACAATGACATTGTATTACTGTGTTATCATCACATCCAAAAAATATGGCAATACCAGAGTACTTTTTTTGTAAGCATACTTTGCTACACAAATCAAAATGTCAAGCACAGCAATCAGGCATTCCTTTAAAACAATAGAGAAACATGAAGGTCAAACACATTAACTCATATCGTCAACTCAGTAACTCAACAACAACAACAACAACATGAAGCAAAACCAAGAAAACAACAATTCGGGCCAAAGGGTCAAACTAAAAATATTCACTTTGCGCTTGTCAATTAATTTGCCCTGTTATTATTTAGAGAGGGCAGGACGAACAAACCTGAGCCCGTCGTGACCCTGCCACAGTATTGCAACTTGTTCTAGAGCGATGCCAGCAGAAGGCAGCACCATATGCCCGTAGCCTCGGGCCCGATGCTCTTTCTGCAGCCTAATACGCCTGTCAGGAGAAGTTACTGTCACAAATCCTCTGTTTTTCCACAACGTGTTTCAAATAAACAGATTTTTTTTCTCTTGTTAACAGAATTGTCCTCAGAGATTCCACTTAGAAGGTCAGTATTTGGTTCTACTGTACTGACAATATCTATGTTTTTAAGATTTTTTTTTGAT